TATCGATTGTGACGGATTCGTTTCTCTCTTCGCTGGGGTTGAGGAAACATTCTGACTTTTAAAAGCCAATACGGAAGTTTGGCCAGAAGGTTTCTTATAAGCCAGTTCTGGCTCAAGAAGGGACCGATTGGAAGTAGGAGGAGGAACATATTTCTGTATTCTAGCTTGAGTTTCTTCCACTGCTCGACTAAGACAAATTAAGTCATCCACAGTAGAAACTCGGTTCAATGCGAGATGGGATTGTATTTCTGGTAACAGATTTCGTTTAATTAGGGCCACACGATCAATTTCCCTGGGTGGTTGTTTCAATTTTTTGAATAAATTCTCCATGATCGTAATATAGGTTAACACTTTTTCTTGACTTCCCTGAGTTCGTTTTCGGATCTCATCCATTAAACTAATCTCGTAGTCGTAAGGTAAATATGCTTCCTTTAGATGTGAAACCAAATCAAGCCATGAAGAAAACTTTTTCGTTCTATACCAAAGTAACGCGTCTTGCGTCAATATTTCCGGAGCGCAACGAAGTAATTGCTGATAGGAAGCCCCTCGTGAAACTCGAAGTTCTTCAATCCTCTCTATAAATTCATTTACGCTTGTACGCCCATTAAATTTAACATTCCATTTGGAAATATCTGGTCCACGAAAATCTTCTCTCCACTTAGGTGCAATCTGACGAACAGGAGAAAAATGTAGGTCTTCCATATTGTTAGATAGATAATCCGGTCTATCCCAAAACTGAGTAGAGCTATTGAGGGTTGCCAACCTAGAAACATTATTCATATTGGTCAACTCATCGCGAGTGGAAGAAAAATGTACTTGTGGGTTAACACTTGTTGGAATTGTCCGATACGTAGTAGTCACTGGAAGGAAATTAGATTCATTTGCACGGAAAGTTGGTCTTGCCCCGGGGAATTCTATGAGATCTCCCTGAGTAGTAGTAGGCAAACCATTTGGAAGGTGGGATCGCTGCATTGGTTCTGGAAGTATTTCATCTACTGGAAGATCCAAAATTGATCCATTTGTATCTAATCCAGTTTCGATTCGGTCAGTCCTTTGAGTATTTGACCTTGTGGATGAAGAAGGGAACGACCTTTCCAAATTAGAACTAAGTTCCTTTTGAAGATTTTGGCAAGCCGCCACTAGTAATAATCGCTCTTCTTCCTCTTCATCATTGGATCCTGTGATCCTATTTACCCTACCTATCAAATGCTGTAGCCGTGTGTTAATTCTCCTATAATCGTTTTCCGCATTTTCGTTGTCGAAATTTTCTATCGCCTGTTCTACCTCAGACAATTTAACTTTACATAATTCCATCTCATCCTTAAATATGATTTCAATATCTAATAGAATTAAGCTTTGTCGGTTATTTCGTTCTGTTCTTAAAATATCTCTTAAGTTTTGCCTTAATTCTGCAACTGTTATGTCCCTGTTACCCGATACTCCGCGAATGTGAAGTTCGTACAGTAACTCGTCTTTTAAAAGTCTGTTGACTTCCATTCTAATCTAGGATCTAAACCTACCTAAAATATATATTTAAACTGTTTCCGAATTAACGATTAAACTCAAAAAAAAATTCCTAATATCTATGTCGGTGTTACTGAGTAAACTCCTTAAACTCCCCACTCTTACCAAAAGAAAAAAGAATTTTAGTATTTCTTTTATATATAGCAATATCTTAAAATCCTAATACCGTAAACGCAAAAACCCTTGAAAATAAAAAATAATGCGTAAACTACAACCTACAAATAAAAACTATACTCAATTTCTTTAAAGTATCGATATCCCAATATTATTTTCTTTGAAAACGAAAAAAAAATTAAAGAATTTTATTATCAGAGTGTAAATATCGTTAATGCCTTAAATACTAAAACCAACGAAAATAAATTTATAAATGCGTTACCTTAGTTGCTTTGAACACAAAACAACTTTGAAAATAAAATAATATCCACTAATTTTTATTTAATTGCTCTTAACACCAATAGTAAGAGACCATAACTTTAGCTAACCTTCAGATAAGCACAAGGCCATCCAATGACTGTAATAATTTTTGATTCTGTGCAATAGTTCGATTTTTTGACAATTGACAGATGACAATATAAAATTTAACCAAAGAAAGATCGAAGTTCAAAGTCAAAACAAGAAAAAAATATATGCGTTTTAGCCAATTTACCAGACAAAAGAAGAAATTAAAATACCTCAGAAACAAGGAATATCACTCCAAAATGTAACTAACTTGTGCTGTTTAATTATTACTAACAAATATCCGTATTTAAAGTAAACAAACACCTGGTTCCAACAGGTTGTTTTCAAAAGTGAATCACAATCTCATACTTTATGAAGATTTTTAGTAGATTTTCAAACTGTCTACATGTAAAATAGCAATCAAACTCTACAAAGAACACTGAACTGAACTTAGATTATATTGGAATATAAACAATCTCTGTAAAATAAGTCATCAAATTTTATTATTTTGAAAATTAATTTGAAACTTCAAGTATATTTAGACTATCATATTAATAGTATCTTCACAATAACACGTTGAGCGCCACTTTGCTACCGCCCCTTTATCTGGGGGGTGCTTGTTACTAATGAAATTACCCCTTTGCTTAAACAATGAAGACAAATAATAGCTCAAGTAGTTTTATGAACTACCGGAGAGTGGGTGAGGGTTATATGATTTAAACTATACTTGTGTTACCCATATAATTTAATTTCAGTCCAGGATGATCAGTGCAGGTTAGTTTCCAGTTGGTAATTTGAGCAATAATAACAAAAACAGGGGCTAAACCTATCAAGTTGCCCTGCAACGTCCAATTAGTACTAATTGTTTACAGTGAAGTGAATGTAAGTATATGAAATTACAGGTAGCTACTATTACTGAGGGTAATATATCTACAGATATTCGTTTACCATTACTAGAGGTAATATTTACTATTAATGTCTTTTCTTTAAGGTATTTGGTCACTACACAAGGTAAAGATATTGTCCAGGCAGGGGATAATAGGCTGAGGTTCCAGCTCAGCTTATCAGCCTTAGAAGAATAAGGAAAGTTCTTACTTGTCTCTAGCAGATCCAAGTTGTATGGGGTGGTCTCGCTTTAGGTACACAAGTAGACAGCAGTCTGGATGTAGCATCCATAAATACATATGCCTAGGAGCTAATAAGCATGCAGCAAGTATCCAGCAAGTAGCTTTTAATGGAGACAGGCAGTAAGACTGAAGTCCAGAGCAAAAGCAGGTAAGCGGTCAGCGTTAATAATTAAAGGTTCTAATTTAGCTAATGCAAGCACTTTATAGGTCTAAACCTAATACTAAAAGGCCGAATATAAGGTAGGGCCGTGCTAGGTACTACTTTATTCACAAAAGTGCTGTCGATTAGACAATGTAGTTTCCTAGTGATAGTTGTAAGTAATTCTCTAATATATGGCTTTAATTCCGAATAAAATTCGTTAAATTTGAACAGGCACCACATGGACCAACAAATTCATGCCATCAAAGAAAGAGCCAGAAAGGAAGGAAGTTCCTTGATTTAATGGCCGACCAATATAGCCAACTATGGAAATTTTAGGGGAAAATTGCATTTGTTCAAATAATAAATTATAACCTTGCCATAGATCATTTAAGAAATGAAATAGGTCCTAGTTACACTAGAAGAAGAAAGGTCAAGGTTGACAGATGATTGTCAGAATGAAATGTTTACATTTTCTGTAGGTTAACCAAACTTTCAACTATTAAATTATCAACTTCTAAATCTGTTTTATTTTCAAAATGGTAAGTTTCATCCAACTTTATATAACTTGTGAAAATCTATATCATTTAATCGATTTGTATATTTATTTTCTCCTATTTAAATTAAAACCGTAACAGGCCTGCATGTCAGCACATTAAATTTTCCAGCCTTGATGAAAGTTTACAACTACGACATAATTATGACTGTTTTGTTTAATTTTAAATCGGTTTACCAACAAAATATAAAAAATCCCAAATGATAAATTATATTTCAGTTAGCGTCCATGACCGGGAGATATAAACCTTATTGGTCCCGTCCTTCCTGACTTGAAGGTTAAGTTGTTAAAAGCCTGATTTACACTACACATACAACTTTATAACAATTATGAATACTAGATTAACTACTTTTGTCAAAGTTGTTATAAGGTTACTACAAAAATAATACAACTTGTAAGTGTGGTGTAGATCAGGCTTTTAACAACTTAACCTTCGAGTTGGAAGTGCCGGGAAGTCAAGTGAAGTGTAATTTTATCATTTGGAAATGGTTACATTTTGTTGATCGACTGGCTTGAAATTAAGAAAACTTAATACAGCAAAATGTATTATGCAATTTTACCTCAAGTAGATCTGCAGGCCTTTTGATGATCTGAGAGGTAGTCATCCTTATAGACATCTCACCTGAAAGGCAGCATCTGGAAGCTATTCAGTTAGGCACAATGGGGCTATTGAGGCCTAACTAATGTAAGGAAAACACACCTTACATAAACAGATTACAAGCAATAAATAGTAGGCTTTGCTGAAGTCTTACTTTATTCCTAAGACAAATCATTAGAAAAAAATATGATAAGTTCCGATTATCTTATCTTGATAAACATATCTCCTATTAATTTCTTGATATATTTAAGTTTTTATTATCCAAAGGTACATATTTCTTTCTTAGCCACTAGTTGTTATGCTTAACAACCAAGAATATTTGACTGTTTCTAAATCACTTAAAATCCACTTTTATAACCACTCGTTGTTACAGAGTTTATTTTAGAGAATTTTGATTTTTTTCAAAGTGGTAACATAACGACTGACCTTGGTCTAAGCCACTTGCTAGCTAGCAACTGCATGATACAGAATAGACTACATAAATCATATTATTTTACTTTATTCTGATAACTGAACAGTTCCTGATTGATATAGATAGACTATAGTTAAATATGCTGATCTATGCGCCTAGAATGGAAATAATCTCAAACACTAGATATTTTTTACTTAAATGTTTACTGTATGACATATTACCATCAATAAAATCTGGGGCAAGTTTAATTTTTCCTTGATCCAAAACATCATTAAATGCGGGCCAACCACAACCATTGTCATATTTGGTATCCGAGCTAAATAGAGGCTGGTCACAAACTATACAAACATATAAACCTTCGTCGTAAACTTTATTGTAACAACCTAAAAAAGAGAATTCAAATATATATAATTATTACCTACTGTAGCTTGCTTCTTATAATTTTAAAATGTGTTATTATTTTAAATGGTTATTTGATATTAACTATATGGGATTATAAATAGCCTAAGTTTTATTATTACATACCACTAAAACGATCTTCAGTTCCCTTTTCTTGGGTAACTTGATATTGAAGAGGAGTAAGCTTTTTTCTTAATTCTTCTTTATCAATTTTCATTTTATTTGCCATTTTAATAGCTAAAATTGTTTTAAATTATGTTAAGAACATAATACATTAATTATGTTGTATATAGGATTGCCAACCATACTTTAAAATAAAGTATCCTACTTTATTTTCGATAAATGTACTTTATACTTTTGCATAAAAAAAATATGCGAAAATACTTTATTTCCAATGAAACATTCATTATGGATAAGTAAATACTGAACTATTTATGGATACAGAATGTACTTATGATGAAAACAGTTTTATTAATAATTACTGAAAGAAATTTTAGATAACAGATATGACTGTGACATGTAATTTTGTCTGTTATTCCAGTTTATAATAATTGAAGTAAAGTAAATATTAATATTTAAGGCATTATTTAAGGTATTAAAAACATAAATTTGAGAAATTCTTTTTTCTTCCAAATACTTTTTTCCTATTCAAACAATTTAATCCTTTTTTTTTTGTTAAAAAAGTTGTTAACCCTAGTTGTATATCTACGTAAGCAGAGCTACAGCCGTATTTTTCGTTTTCACTATGCCATAATTTATAGCTAATCTATAGCTAATTTATTGATAATTCATAGCTAATTTATAGATAATTTATAGATAATTTATAGATAATTTATAGATAATTTATAGATAATTTATAGATAATTTATAGATAATTTATAGATAATTTATAGATAATTTATAGATAATTTATAGATAATTTATAGATAATTTATAGATAATTTATAGATAATTTATAGATAATTTATAGATAATTTATAGATAATTTATAGATAATTTATAGATAATTTATAGATAATTTATAGATAATTTATAGATAATTTATAGATAATTTATAGATAATTTATAGATAATTTATAGATAATTTATAGATAATTTATAGATAATTTATAGATAATTTATAGATAATTTATAGATAATTTATAGATAATTTATAGATAATTTATAGATAATTTATAGATAATTTATAGATAATTTATAGATAATTTATAGATAATTTATAGATAATTTATAGATAATTTATAGATAATTTATAGATAATTTATAGATAATTTATAGATAATTTATAGATAATTTATAAATAATAATTTATAGATAATTTATAGATAATTTATAGATAATCTATAGATAATTTATAGATAATTTATAGATAATTTATAGATAATTTATAGATAATTTATAGATAATTTATAGATAATTTATAGATAATTTATAGATAATTTATAGATAATTTATAGATAATTTATAGATAATTTATAGATAATTTATAGATAATTTATAGATAATTTATAGATAATTTATAGATAATTTATAGATAATTTATAGATAATTTATAGATAATTTATAGATAATTTATAGATAATTTATAGATAATTTATAGATAATTTATAGATAATTTATAGATAATTTATAGATAATTTATAGATAATTTATAGATAATTTATAGATAATTTATAGATAATTTATAGATAATTTATAGATAATTTATAGATAATTTATAGATAATTTATAGATAATTTATAGATAATTTATAGATAATTTATAGATAATTTATAGATAATTTATAGATAATTTATAGATAATTTATAGATAATTTATAGATAATTTATAGATAATTTATAGATAATTTATAGGTAATTTATAGATAATTTATAGATAATTTATAGATAATTTATAGATAATTTATAGATAATTTATAGATAATTTATAGATAATTTATAGATAATTTATAGATAATTTATAGATAATTTATAGATAATTTATAGATAATTTATAGATAATTTATAGATAATTTATAGATAATTTATAGATAATTTATAGATAATTTATAGATAATTTATAGATAATTTATAGATAATTTATAGATAATTTATAGATAATTTATAGATAATTTATAGATAATTTATAGATAATTTATAGATAATTTATAGATAATTTATAGATAATTTATAGATAATTTATAGATAATTTATAGATAATTTATAGATAATTTATAGATGATTTATAGATAATTTATAGATAATTTATAGATAATTTATAGATAATTTATAGATAATTAATTTATATCTAATTTATTGCTAATTTAATGCTAATCTGTTACCAATTTATAGTTAATTTATTGCCTATTTCTTGTTAATTTATTACCAATTTATTGCTAATTTATTGCTAATTTATTGCAATTGATTGCTAATTTATTGCTAATTGATTGCTAACCGATTGCTAATTGATCGCTAATTTATTGCTAGTTTATTGCTAATTTATTGCTAATTTATTTCTAATTTATTGCTAATTTATTGCTAATGTATTGCTAATTTATTGATAATTTATTGCTAAGTTATTGCCAATTTATTGCCAATTTATTGCTAATTTATTGCTAATTTATTGCTAATTTATTGTTAATTTATTGCTTATTTATTTATCATCAATTGTTAATTTATTGATATTTTATTGCTAATTTATTGCTAATTTATTGCTAATGTATTGCTAATGTATTGCTAATGTATTGCTAATTTATTGATAATTTATTGCTAAGTTATTGCCAATTTATTGCTAATTTATTGCTAATTTATTGCTAATTTATTGCTAATTTATTGCTAATTTATTGCTAATTTATTGCTAATTTATTGCTAATTTATTGCTAATTTATTGCTTATTTATTTCTCATCAATTGTTAATTTATTGATATTTTATTGCTAATTTATTGCTAATTAATTGTTAATTTATTGCTAATTTATTGCTAATTTATTGCTAATTTATTGCTAATTTATTGCTAATTTATTGCTAATTTATTGCTAATTTATTGATAATTTATTGCTAATTTATTGATAATTTATTGCTAATTTGTTACTAATTTATTACTAATTTATTGCTAATTCATTGCTTATTTATTGATATTGTATTGCTAATATATTTTTTATTAAAAAGAGTAACATTATCCATTTTTTAGCACTTACGTGCAACAAGAATTTATTAACGTATGATTGATCTAGCTGTAAAGAAAGCTAAAAAATGGCATATTGTTTTAATTCAGTTATTAAAACTTTGTCTATCAAAATATTTGTATTGAACATTTCTACCTAATAGGTACTACTACGCTAATCTAGGCATTCGAACGACTTGTACAAATTCCAAATGGTTTCCTGAAGAATTTGACGGAGTCAGTGGTATACATATACCGTTATATAGATTGATGAAAGCGGGTCGCATATTGAGCGCGGCCATATTGCCCCGCAAGTCTTCATTAATCAGATTCTATTTAAATAATGACAGAAGTAATTTAGTAAATACGAAAATACTTTTAAAGGCCTCCAATCTTTTAACGGCCATTAAAATATAAAGGAATTATTACAGAATAGACCCCAAAGATAGAGATAAAAGTCACGTTCGAAATAACTACTCGGCGCTCTGAATTAAATCCAAACTGACACATAAAAAAAAGAATTGTACCCTTTTTAGAAACATTTTATGCGGATCACTCCTAATAACATTAAGAATTTTCTTAGGTATCAAAGAAATCAGATGTTAACCTGATTTACCAGCATTTGTTAAATTCAATTGCAACAATTTAAATAATTATATCTTATATGACGTTCATGATTACTTTAACGGTGTTATCGGACTTACCGACTCATTGACTTAGTAGAAGAAAAATTTCACAGAAATATTGATGGCACAGAAAAGAAATACGACTAAAGAAATAAAGGAAATTAGAAAATGTATAACTGTTATTATTGAATAGGTACTAATTAAGTTTTCTATGTATAAATAAACAAAAACGAAAAACTAAACATCACTATTACTTTGAAATTGCTATAGAATTAGTTTAAATATTATATCTGAGAAACTTAAGAAAATTGCATTTATATAAAACTTACAAATGATATTTCTTTTTTAAGGTCTTACCTACGACCCACGCATACCACAATTTTCTCAATTAGGGGATGGGGCAATACTCGTACAATTAAAATAAACGTAACATATTAGCAATAAATTAGCTAAAATTTATGGCGGACTAAAAAAATTCGGTTGGGTATCTGTTAGCTTCCATGTACACTATCAAAGCCACAGTTTTTCCAATGAAGTGAAGGCGCAATAACATTAGCATAGGAATAATAACTTACAAATAAATTAAATAATCATTAAAGGGTATTTAGTAAAAAATCAAAAATTCTGTTGTGGCCCTCCAACTTCCACTTATACCCTAACAATCACAGAATTTTCAAAGAAGGGATGGATCAATAAAATTAAAATAAGGGTAATAAACTAGCAATAAATTAGCTAAAAATTGTAGTGAAGTAAAAAATTTAAAATTATGTTGTAGCTCTACTAGCTTCTACGCACGCTAGCAAAACTACAGTTTTTTCATTAAGGGAAAGAAGCAACAAAATTAAAAATCAAAAATTCGGTCATAGATTTTTCAATAAAGGGATAGAGCAAAAAACTTAAAATATGGGTAATAAATTAGCATTAAAATAGCATTAAACTAGTATTAAAGTAGCACTAAAGTAGCACTAAAGTAGCACTAAAGTAGCACTAAGGTAGCACTAAAGTAGCACTAAAGTAACACTAAAGTAGCACTAAATTAGCACTAAAGTAGCACTAAAGTAGTACTAAAGTAGCATTAAAGTAGCATTAAAGTAGCATTAAAGAAGCATTAAAGTAGCATTAAAGAACAATAAAGTAGCTATAAATTAGCAATAGATAAAAATTATGGCGAAGTAACAAATCAAAAATTCGATTGTGACGCTGCCAGCTTCCATTTATACCCCATGAAAGTAATAAATATTTCAATAAAGGAATAGAGTAACAAAATTAAAATACGGATAATAAATTTCATGATGTAAATTTGTGTATTATATTGTAAAAGGGTTTATGTCCAATTAAATATTTAAAAAAATACACTACAATAACAGTTATTTTTGACTCACCTCCAATATGTATATATTTAATTAATGTTTATTATAATAATGTCTCCTGTTCTTTTGTACGCAACGTTAATCACATTCAGCA